CTTTGCGTTCTGTCGTTAATGACCGTGAAGCTGTTGTCCTCGCACATCTCTATTACTTTCTTGACATTGGTGTCTACTTTAAGTTCCTTTGCTGCCCTGATTAGTGTTTCGAATTGTCCTGCGTGACCTTTACTCACAGGGGAGCACTACTCCTATTCTAGCAGTAATGTCTCCCAGGACCATTACACTAGAATCGCTTATCGCTTAGTTGATCATAATATCCGTTTCAGCCATTGCAGTTGAAGTAGGTTGGGATTACTATGAGATGTTCGTAATCGTTTACGATTAGGTATTATGGATTCTGCGCCACCGATGCACAGTGGTCGATTCTGACAATCTGGCAGGCAATAATTAATAACTCAAAAAATAAATGAGTAACATTTTTAAAAATATTTTTGTATTTTGGAATATAAATCCGCGGAGTATTTAAATAAATTTTTAATTTTTATTTTTTAGCTTAAAAACTTAAAAAAAAAATAATCATTTTTTTTTTATTTCAAAATATTATAAAATGTTTTTATAAGCACTTTATATTAATACAAAAAAGGTATAAGTCAAAATTAAAATTTTTGGTCTCTTATTTGAAGTATTTTAAATGTCTGCTGTACACTTCACTCAGAGGCAAAATTACTTAATTTTTTTTTTATTCGCTAGCAATAATTTTCGCTGCGTTTGTTTTTATCAATTATCAATTAATTGAGTGAAAACATGGATCCAACTCGGTTTAGCTTTTTTGCTTACTCAGTTTCCTTACGAAACATCGCAAAAAGCTTTTTGACACTGCAATTTTCCCTATAGAATCAAATAAATTAACGTGTTGCACGTAGTTGCAATTTGTTTCAGCACAGAAGATTCAAAAAAGACTGGATTCATTAAGAGAAAAAGATTGAAGGCGAATGGGGGCGGATGTCAAAATATCTATTCCATGCAAGTGTCGGGTATGATATTAATAGCACACTAAAGGAAATGTTAAGTTCTACAACGATTTCAGCACAGGACCAACACATATATTTTTTATTGAATACTTACCAACTATGATCAAAATGGATGGTAATTTATATACAAATCGCAAAACATTAAGATTAATTTTGCTTTACCAAAGCCATAAAAAGGCGATAAAATGTACTTAGGTATGGACAGAAAAGTTTTCTGGATTCAACCGCGTGCAGATACTGGACTATCGATAGGAAAAATATATAAATATCGCAATAAATATCAGTGGGATGTTTACTTTCCAAAAAGTAAAAAAAATTAACAAGATTCGACATTTTAATTTTTCATTTATTGCCTGCCAGATTGGCAGAATCGACCACTGTGAGATGTCGTGAAAGCTGTAACATCCAGATGCGACTAAGTCTGTGTGGATGCCTCTATGTTGGCCAGCACTTGCTCTTCCTCTTGCTGCCGTTCTTACGGCTGGTTCCCATGACAGAATATGATTTGGGAAGTATGGTTCGTACTGCTGCATGTTTTGGTCGACAAATTTTTCGTATAGGAAAAATATTTGATAAGTATTTATAAATTAAAAACATTGACTAAAGATTAGCTTATTTGCTTAACCTGCAATGTTGTATGACAATATATTAATGTGTATGCTGTTTTGAGTGCGTATTTGCCGTTCTAATTTTTTGATTCCCTGGCTTTGGTGAGAAGTCGCGTGTGAGTAAGGTTGGTTTCATCCAATGCAGCGCAATAGAGTTCCTTTAATATCGGGTTAGCTGGCTTTCCTTTGCAAGTGAGCTTATGAGCATTGTTAAAGGACACTCATTTGCCCTCTACACAGATCTGGTCATTTTTGACGAATGACTTATAGTTCTTTTTTATGGATACCAGCTCCTTTTTCAACTGCATTAGGGCCAGCTTGTTTTTTAATACATCATTTATGGTCAAAGCATTCTCCATTTCTCTCCATTAGCAATCCCATCTTATTTTTTCGTTGGTAGAGCACTCGGGTTTCTCGTACTGATGCGTTCGGGATCGCCATTTTACCCCGTAGCAATTTTTCCACTCCCTCCTTTGTGGCATCTTCCTTTTCTAGGCTTTTGAAAATAAGGTTCCGGGCCTTGCTGCTTTGCTCCAGTCTGCTAAGCTCCGTTCGGTCCTGCTCTCTGTTGCTTTTTAATTGCTGGAAATCGCGCTTTAAAGTCTCATTCTCCGCTTTAAGAGTTTCGATCTGGTCGGACACGGCGTCTAATTGGGACTTTAACGTCCTCCTTTGTTGCCAATTTGTCGAACCGTTGGCCCATTTGGCTGATGGCCTGCATCACGTCTCCCAGCGATATATCGGGTGATAGCGCACGCCTCTTTCCTGCCGTCCTGCTACATTAAGAGGCGTACCTGAGGGCATATTATGAAGTGCGGTACTTATTTGCGTCTGCTTTGCACCTGAAGAAGTCCAGTTTAGTGACATTTTTGTGGTTTCTACTCTTTTTTATATGATAAGCTTTTATATTTTCACAATTTATTATTTTGTTGACGCCTGAAAATATGCTGTGTATAGTTTGGCTTACGTTACGGCATGCAGGTTCCGATCCGTATTGTGTTGAAGCTTTGACAAGCAGTTGGTGCAGTTGCGTTGCGTGTCTGGTCCACTCACGTCGCTGTAGTAGCTGATCAGTCTCACCTCTGACTTTTTTTTGGTTGCTGACTTGTGTTTTCTCCCGTGTCAATTTTCACTCACGAGGCACTTTTACCCACATTCCACGAGAATTTCCAGTTTTTAGCGTTTGCAACCTGTGTTTTTTTTTTCTGATATACCGCCATGGCCCTTCCGTATCGGTCTGGTATCAAATGCCTGGTTAGTGAGCCTCTTTCTTTATCTGTTGCGTATCAGCTGGCGTTCCATATTGTTGCAGGTGTCTCACAATCTGATCATGGGCCGGAGCACGTCTGAACGGTAGGCGGTACGTATATATTTTATAAATATTTTTCTTAACTCGTGTCACTGTAAATTTCTACTTATTAATTTGCTAGTCCACCATGAAATCTTAGAAAAGTTTTTCTACATTAAATAAACAACGAAAAAACGAGTTTGTTGGCTGCAAATTGGTATATAAGTTAACACTCGGTAGCGGAGATGTGCAACTGGGCGCTGGGTTCTTGCAATTAGTCAAGAACTTATTCAGCTGACTAACTTCGTCGCCACCGAGAGACGATCGCGCCGCTGCCGCCGGGCTAGTAGGCTGGGCCAAAATTGGACCAAACAATTTTTATTTTTTCAAGGGGACACCACCGAACTCTGTTCTTTGTTATTCAATAAAATTATACAATTTTTGTCAAATTTTTAGTTTAATGTTTGGGGGTTGCTACCATGAAAAGAAAATACACTTTTTTGGATAAATATACATTAAAAAAATGTAATTCGTCGTTTTCAAATAACATTGAAACTATTTCATATTGATAATAAGGTACTTTTATTTTTTTTTTTAGTTACTGTTAAAAAATTAACGATTGGTGAAAATCAAGAAGTTCAGATGAGGTTGATATATTTAGTTAATAAGTTCGCAAAAACTTGAGCAGGTTTTTTACTGCTAACAACTGATTAATGATGATATAAATGGTATCAATATACATGCATATATGTATATATGCATATAGATTTCACCAATTCATGCAGCAAAAAAATGTTGTTTGAATTTTCTTGATACAAATTTTTTTTTATGATTCGGTAGCAACCTCTAAAAAATTAAAAACAAAATAAAAATGAAAATATGTAAATTACTATTAAATCTAAGGTAACAAAACTAGGGGGTGTCCCGTTGGAATTAAAAAAAAAAATGTTTGGCCCAGCCTACTGGATAGTAAGTTTTAGGGCTTAGCTTGATCTTTCTGATATTAAGTATTTTAGTCTTAACAGATCTTACGAACCAACGTCGAATAAATGACTAAGCTCCGGCCATAGCCGTAAATAACTGTCTGTTTTATTGTTGAGCTGATCGGCCAACAACAATTCATTAATGGAAAGCTCGTCATATTACGTCTCTCCTACTTCGCCTATCGACGAATACCTTATGGCATAATTCGTCGTGGTCCTATCTCTAAGCCCCCACTGGAACACTTGCTATTACTTATATATTACGACGAAAATTGTTGATAAATAATGGGGACTTCTTTTCCTCTTCGTTATAATATCTTCTTGAGCCTAACTAATCTAGGGCGGCGAAGCGGGTCGAATTCGCCAAGAGCGAGAGAGAGCTTTATTACGCTCTCGCTTCGCTCTAATCTATCTAACACTAAACTTTAAAAAGTAACAAAATAAATAAACTAGCGTGACTCGACAATAACAATAGAACATAAATAGCGGTTGTGGTTCCTCTTTTTATACCCTTACTCAAAAAAGAGTTAAGGGGTATTTTGTATTTGTGGTAAAAGTGTATGTGTGCAACGATTCTTGATCAGCATCAATAGCCGAGTCGATATAGCCATGTCCGTCTGTCCGTCCGTCTGCCCGTCTTGATAAGCGCCTAGATCTCAGAGACTATAAGAGCTAGGGCAACCAAATTTAGTTTCCAGACTCAGTGTGATATCACACTGATACAAGTGTATTTCAAAAATTCGCCCGGCTCCCTTCCGCCATCACAAAATACGAAAATCTGTGGCATGCACAATTATAAAGGTACGATAAAACTAAAAACGCAGTATCGTAGAGAATGCCCATACCTACCAGATTGCCGAATATGAACTAGATCGGATCATAATTATAGCCAGAATGAAGAAATAATTTTCTGTTGATTCCCCCTCCTTCTTCAGCGCTGCTGACGCTATTGATTCTCTTTCTCGCTCGCACACTCTGCCGCGTTCAGTGCGCGAGCAACCCCTAGCGGAGGAGATGTAGATTATAAATGGTACATCTATAATCTACATTTTAGACGTAAAATATACATTGTAGATGTAGATAACAGATTTAGCAATGTAATGTAAAATGTAAAACTTTTTTTAAATTTTAAAATTCTAAAAAATTATGCTCAAAAATGTATATACTGACTGATTACGGGTATAAGTATTGTCGCGTCCCCAGAAGCGACTCACACGTTCCTTCTCCTTGTTTCTATGTTTTTCTCATTTTCACCCATCGAAGCAATTCGTCTCTTTTGCGAACAGCAATATCAAAAAAGCAAGCCTTTCGTGACAAGCAAGCCGGTCGTGTTTCTGCATCGCTCTCGCCTTTTTCGCCTAATCAAAAAAAGAAAAAAGAAACTTATAAACTGTAATTAATTCAATTTGGTTTTAAGTATCGGAGGTGCACACATATTCATATTTTATAAAGCTTGTGTATACTCAGTGTTTTAAATTGATTTATTACTTTTAATTTTTCTGTGGCTGCCGAACAAACATACATACATACATACATCTAACAGTGGATCGTTGCATTGCATTGTTTTTGTTTAGACAATTGTTATTGCTATTCGATCGGTTGCTTTGCTTTGCTTTGACTCATCGACTCATTGCTCTTTGGCACTCACCGTTCTCGCGCATAATCCGTTGCACTGCCTACTCACTCTCTGGATTTCACGCGAGCTGCACTCTGGCTCTCACTCTTACCATACGACGCCTGCATTCTTCGTTTATGGTCTAATATCTCGGCGCCTCTGCTTTGCTTTATTGGAGTTCGTCGTTAGCTTTCGTCACTTCGCTGCGCCGTCTGCCCTGTATATATGTACATACATAGGGACATACATAACTGCTGATCATCGTGCTCTTTCTGCTGCTGCTGCTGCTGCCTGGTCTCTCATCTAGCTTGTCCTCTCAGTGCGTCTTTTTTTCTCGCTGTGCACAGTGACCCAACAGCTGTTGAACATGGCTCTTATCTGCAGTGCAAAGAAATGCGAATTTGGTGGCACCATTAATGGTGATTCCTACCTCAATTTCCAAATTATTTATTTGAAATTAAAATCAGTTGGGAGCGGCGCAAGATCAAGCAACGAAGACGGATTGCCAATACGCACAGGCATCCCATGCGTAAAAACAGGTAAATTCGAGATTAGTCCCACAGACTTTTAACGATAGCCGGGCATCACGCAAGAGGATATACTCGTTTGATCGTAACTTCGACTGACTGAAACGAATGAAATTGAGAATTGAGAAATTTAGCCATCCTATCCACGACTGGACATCAGTGGGTCTTGAAGTGAATAATTTGACCGATGAGTCTCGTACACTCGTGGTAATTTGCCACAATCCCGACGATTGAGAAAAATACCGCGTGATTCCACGTTCTCGCCAACAATTACTACTGCGACTTCATTGATAGCACTACCCTACACCATTTTTCTATCAAAAAACGTTGGTTTAGTTCGAAGCGGATTTACAATGTTCAATTTTGTCGAGTAGTGTTATTAAAGACAAATACGTGCAGAGTTCTCTGTACAAAGCAAACAAACATTTAGTCACACTTTCGATAAAATTTTTGGAAAGTACCGTTAAAATCTAAGCAAAATCAGTATGGCATTATAAAGTTAGATATTGTTTCAAAATTTTGCACTGATCGTATTGTCCTCCATTAAAAAAAAAACGAACAAAAGTGCAAAAATGTAGCGTTTACTTTAAACAGCTTAAGCTGTCCTCCGCAAACTTTTTTTAATAAGTGTTTTCCCAAGCTCCACGGGAATATAAACTTACGATCTCATTTTTGTCTGGACTACAAGGTCCTACTCTACAACTCGATTTCAATCTCAATTTTAACTCAATCTAGACTGTCTCCCAGCCAAAGGTAACGCGAACAGCAGTCACATTGGCATCGTAAAGCGAGCCGCTCGGTACGTTCGAAAGGAGGAACATTAACAGAGATCTAAGCATCTAAGCACACGTCAAACATGAGATAGCACCACAAAAAGCGAACTTCCAGCCTAGCCAATCACCATTAGAGCCATGTAGGAGGATTCCAGTACATATTAATGTATTGCTTTCATCTCAGCACCTTTTACCAAACTGGCCAGTGCACTCACTTAATGATTCCTTAGACTCAATAGCCTGACTTTAAATATCATTGAATATCATTGAATATTGGATCAGAACATTATAAAACGTAAAAAAGACTTAAAAACAGCATTCACAGAGGGGTGGGGGAAAATTACTCTATAGATCACAGTAATATTGGTCGAATCGATACAAAAACGAGAAGGAACGTGAGTCGCTTCTGGGGACGCGACTCTACTTATACCCGTTATACCCGTTATACTCAGTCAGTATATACATTTTTGAGCATATGATTTTTTAGAATTTAAGAATAAAAAAAAATGTACACTTACATTTGTACCACATTTGAGTGTACCACTTTTAAGTTTTTCTGGTTGTCTGGTTCATTTAAGCTGTAAGCCACTGTAGTTTCTTCATAGATAGGTAAAAAAAAGGTAAAAGTAAACATACATATGTTTGTACCATAGAAAATATAGATCTAGCAGGGTATTTCTTCCAGATGTAAAAACAAATACATGTACATCGTACAGACATCTAGAAAACGAGATTTATTTTTCCCCTTAAAAATTATCGTAAATCTGTTGGGCAGCGAATGTGTTAAAATTGGTACACATGGTGGGTTGCAGCATGGAAATAACGTCCATATATTTATATATATATGTATGTGTCCTCGTAACAATGTAAACCACCCTTTTATTCAAAGAAAGAGCATGCTCCAAGTAGACGAGAAAATCAGAATGTGTCACAAAATAAGTTGACAGTTGTATAGTTTTTTATTTTAGTATGAAATAAAATAAAGCACAAAAATATCACATGTGCATTTTAAAAGTTTAATTATAACTGAATCCGTACAAAAACAAATTAAAAACACGGAAAAAAATTGTAATTTGGCACCCCTATTTCCATGTTAATACCAATTTACATACATATGTATGTTAATGTGTGTGAAAATAAATTACTGCTGCTTAAAAGTCCACGCAATCACTGGTCAACTATTTTTATTTTTTTCCAACAATTAATATACTGTTATTTAGACCACTAATCAAAAAGACATAAATAAAAAATGAGAGCCTGAGGTATTAATCATATGTACATATGTATCTTACTAAAAAATTTACCCGTATTTATGTATATATGTATAAAGTTAATGTGATGATAAAATATTTTGGAAAACCAAAAAATGTGAAAAAGGAAATAAAGTAAATTCAACTAAAAAATTAATAATATATGAACATATGTATGTACATATTTTCAGATATATGTAAGAGTACGATTTATTTGTATAACTTGTTAAAGAACACATATTTAATTAAATTTTCGGATTAAGAAGTGATTTTCGTCTTCCTAAAATAAATGTACATGCATATGTACACTTTACAATTGCGTACTCCTCTGTTTGGTCAATGGTGTTTGTGCAGTGTTTAACGCGAATATCACCTAGAATACTTCAACTTGGTTGCATATGTACACATATGTACGCATACGATCTACATGCATATAAATACATTACAAGTAAGTATGCGCATTTATTTGATATACATTTACTATGGTTTTAAGATAAATGTATTCATAATGTACAAAAAGAAGACATTTTTATAGTAATGCATACATGCATATATATTACTTTTCGGGTATACTAAATGTATAAATAAGTATCACGAAATTTGTGGCAAAATCATAATGTAAATGGCCAGTTTTTATACCCATATTAAAAAAGAGTTAAGCATAGTACCGCACCGCGGAATCCCCGTAAAACTTCATATAAAAAAACTGCCAGGATTTTTTCTTTTTCGTTTTCCTGGAGTGTGTATCCAGCAACACGAGCGGAATCCACAGATTTATATCGATAGTTGCCTATCGGGATCAGTCCTCGTGGACTGAGAGAGCAGCTGACACCCAGCTCAGGAATACATGTTCAACAATTATTCCTGAAGTGAATGGTGCAAGATGTAGGCAAAAACTGTCCGCAAAACGAAAAAGAGAGATGCAAATTATTCTTTTTTGTTTTGCAACAATACACCAACACAATCACTTCATCATCAGAGTGCATTTTTTTCCTTTTTTAATTTTAGCAGAACTTAACAGTTGGCACTGTTTACAAAACACAGCTGATTCATCAACCCTGTTTAAGCTATGTTCCACACCCTCACGGAATAACAAGCAAATTCATGGCAGGAATTTTCCGTGGTGCTGGAGACAGGCCTTTAAGGGGTATATTGTATTTGTGGTAAAAGTGGATGTGTGCAACGCAGAGAAGGAAACGTTTCCTAACCCATAAAGTACATATATTCTTGATCGGATCATAAATAGATCTACCTGATTGACAAATTTGTATCGGATCGGATTATTATTATAGCCAGAATGAAGAAGATGTTCAGTGTCTAACCAAACCCCTTCCAGTGCTGCCGCCGCTACTTATGCTTTTTCTCGCTCGAACACTCTACTTCGTTCAATGTGCGTGCGCCCCCAACCGGAGGACATGTAGAATCTACATGGTAGATGTAGATTTGGCTGACAGATGAAGCAAAAGCAAAAATCACACAAATCATGAGCTCACATACATATATACTGACTGAGTACGGGTGTAAAAGTTGAGTCGTAGCAACAAAAGCGACTTACAACGTTCCTCCTCGTTAAAATATAAAATTGTATTTATACTATGTTTTTATATCCATAGCTAGGAATAGGTAGAACCAAAAACCAATACTTTTGGTGCAATGCGCACCAGTAAACAAAATAAAAGTAACAACAAATTTAGATTAAATTCATAAAGTCGCATTAGTTAGGAGTCGTTTAGGATATCGTTTATAAAAATCTTAGTAAAAACGGCCAAGCTGTAGTTTTAACGCTTTGTACAGTTATATACTGGTTAACACTTTGTAAAAGACATTTAAGAAAAAAAAACAAAAATAACATAGTTGTGAACAGTTTTCCCGAGTTTTTAAAGTCAAAATTTCGACAAAAAATACCGCAAAAAATGATGAAATTTGAATTTGAAAGCTTAATATCTTTCAGGCGTTAAGCTGCAGATACAAAGGGTCTGGGTCGGATTTATAGCTGCATTTGTCAGCTTTGCAGAACTTCAGAAGTTCTATGCAACCCGATATAAGATATTTAAGTTATGTGAAAAATAGAAGCACTACCTCTTTAAAAAAAACATTAAAAAATTACCAGATTTAAAAAAGTTCTTTAAAAAAAAACTTCACCTAATTCTAGTGTTGACTAGTGTTATTTAATATCGAATTTTCGGAAAAAAATATGTCAAAATTGCAATTTTACAATGGACTTAAGCTATAAAGTTTTAAGGTCCAATTGATAGCTTCTTCTGTTCAGAAATGCAGTTATTTGTAACGTACTCAAGTTATGTGGGAAAAATAGCAAGCTTACCTGTGAAAATACTGGTTGGTCTCCCAGCCGAGTATTATTCAGTATTTTTAGTCAGTGGTGCCGCCTTAAAGTAATTCCTGTTATTTGTTCGTTATTTGCACTGCCCACTGTACCTAATTGTAATCGACATGCATCTACACCCGCCCCACAGTGGCTCATTTTCTCAAAACACGTTGCAAAATGAATAACTTTTGAACCCGGCGAGATATAAGTCTGAAATTTAATACATATATTTGCAATATTTAAAATATTTTTTTAAAAGAAAAATTAATGTAGGCGTGTCACTGGAAGGGACGTAATTAACGGTCGAACCCGAAATTTCGTTTTTTACCCTAAAAACCATCACCATCATAGCACGAAAAGTTAACGTCCAAAAAATTCAAGTAAAATTATTGAACAATCGATTTTTTTAGGTTTTTGAATCACGAAATAGAGATGTAATCGAAGCGTCTTTCGAAACTGCGAAAGAAAAGCTTTCCGAGCAAATGGCTAACACGTATAGTTCATAAGAAAAGCTACAAAACGAAGATTTGTTCAACTTTCTGTAAGCTCCCCGGATGAATGCCGTTCCGGACTTAAAATTAGTATATTCCTCTGAAATGGTTGCCACATTTGGAAATAGGGAAAATTGCTTCGTTAAATATGAAAATATTTAATTAAATGCATATGGCTTTAGGCATTAGGCTGGGCCAAACAATTTTTTGGTCAAATTTTGGCCCAGCCTAATAAGCATACATATGTATATGTATTTAGCAAGGGGGCGTGGCTTGGCTAATCTAAAATTTACGCATTTATACCATATGAATCTGTTTGTTAATTGTAAGCTAGTAAGAATTAAAAACAAAGAATATATTCAGCAACATCTCTGCTGCGTTCTCTAATGGCCGACTACGTAGGGCCGTTTAGTTAGCATGGGTTAAATTGGAAAATAACTAATATCTCATAAAAGGTGCAATTGTGGTAATGGTTTTTTCTTTTGTTTGTTTGCTGAATATCACCACTATTTTTTCGTGCAGTCCAATGCTCGGCCAAATATGGCCTATTTTTATATTCCGCTAAAGATTGAAAATAGTGCAATAAATGGCGTTTCTTAAAAAAATCTAATAAAATATAATCGCAAAATATATTTCCTTTTTCGTCTAAATTCATATTTTAGACTTGTTCCTTAAATTATGGAAAAAATTGTTCTCCTAGCTTGAGTACTTTTTGAGAAAAATGCATTAACCTTTGCCTTTTAAGCACGGTTTTCTTAATTTTTTCAAAAACATAAAAATGGTTCAACTTTGAACAAAGATTAGAAATCTTAAAAAATGTTTGTAAATTATAAAATACTGGTTTTGAATAGCTTGATCAATTCCTAATTGAAGTGTAACAGAAGTATTTGTTCGGCTTAGCGCCGGCCCATGGCAGCACAAAGAGTAGTTGATCATCTCTTAATCTAATGTCTCTCTTTATAACCGTTTGATTGCTTGTACTTATGCTCTTGCTGGTGCGTTGCTCTTTCTCGGCGTTAGTCAGCCGCTGTGGGGGAGGCTCATCAGAAAAAGCAGAAGACACTTCAAATTCGATCATCACCGTAGTAAAACGTTTGGCTGTCTGGCACAGTGACCTGCCTGCCACAGAGTTCTAAACTAAACCTAACATAAACATATCAACTTCAACAGTCTTGAACCGGACCCCGCGTCTTCAATCGACCCATCGTTAACTCTCGTTATCAAATTCGCACACCTTTCGCTAGTTTTGGATAATACATATATATTAACTTAAGTAAAATAAATTGTGAATATATTAACTGAACAATCATCGTCTCTTAAATAGTCTTGCAAAACAACGCTACTGAAGAAGCTCAGTAGCTCAACAGTATTCCCAAATTCAATAACGCGATATCCGACTTTTGCAACGAGTTTTCGGAAAACGAGCCACTGTGCGCCCCCTCACTGTAAAAGCCGTTTCAACCGTTCTATCGTCTCTTCGTCTCGCGCCTTTCTCCTTTACTTTTCTATCATTCTCGCTCTGTCGCTCTTTCGTTCTATCGATCAATATCTCGCTTTCTATTTCGTAGCGTCGCGTAGGGCACGGGCAATTCGGTCCGTCTGCCCTAACATGCCTCCGCAATGGTCATAATCTGGTCTAACACGTGCATGCCTTTGCAAATATCTACACGAATCGCGGTTTATATATGCATCTAGCTTTCTTCTTTTTTTCGCCTTCGCTATCGTGTTCTCCATTTATCTTTCTCTCGCTTGCATTAGGGCACGGGCAATTCGGTCCGTTTGCTTGGAGAGTCTGGACGTAGCACTCGCACCTGACACATCGTCGCCTAATCGACCAGGCATATTAACAAT